ACTTTCCACAAAAATCAGACTATTTGTGTTGAGTCTTCAGTTTCTCCTGATTGCTGCTAGTCATTTCTGTTCATCCGTGAAGGTAGCTGCAAAAATGAGTGTTCCAGTTGTAGCAGGATCATGTTTTTATTGCTTCCAGCATGATTTTAACATGTTATTTTGAAGGAATTTATAGCAAAAAAGTGGACACAATAACACAACTGACAATAGAGTTCATAAAGAAGAACGCAAACGTTTATTCTTTTCAGAAAATGTAAAGTAACAAAGATTTAAAGATCTCAAAGAAGGAGAAGTTTATAGGAGGTGTTGGTTCATTTACAGAAACACTTGCATTACAGAGACGAGTTCACGTCTCATTAGTAGTTTGACAGTTTCTCCCTTTTCAAAAGCTTCATGTAACACCTTGTTAAAACAGTTTTCTATAAGCTTTCACACTGACAATAGAAATAATTTAAAATAGTTCTGGATGTTATCTTTTGTTTTACTTCTGTATTCAAATCAAAGCTCTAATCCATGAGTTTCTCAGTGCCTCCACCTAGTGCGTAAATGCGGTACTGCAGGAAGCAAGCTGGAATGAACGTCGTCATTTAGGCACATTGTACAACCCGTTTTACTGTTTTGGTTTTTTGTTCTGATAGTAAGTCAGAATAAATATTTTCTCCAAATATCACACAATTATGTGGGACGAGAATTCATCGTAAACTCTCTTCCTGGTCAGTTGTAGACTTCAGAATGCAAGAAGTCCAGGTTTGGTTTTATTATTCGATCCAGATGTGTTGGGAACCGATCCATCTACTTGCTGATGACCTCTGTGTCCACGTCTTCTGTGTGGGACACCACCTTCCCATCAACAATCTCCTCAATGATCACCTTTGTCCTCTGAGTGATGACTGGTTTGCCTGTAGAGGAAATGACATTTAGAATCAGAATCAGAAAGTGTAAACTTTAAATACAATGACAGTAGGCGTGCTACACCTTCTGGTACATAAGAGATGCAAAGTTTAACCCGTTAAACACAGAATATTCTATTAGAGTTAAATGCATGATATGTTTCACTTCAACAGATGGAAACAGTGAAAGTCGGTGAACTTACGTTTTTCCTCTTTCACCGTTACGACGGTTTTCCTAGAAGAGAGACATAAAGTTAGTTCTTCCAGTCTTACGATTCGAGATGCAGATGTTAAAGGAGTTTATAAATGTTGAGGTGCAATCAACATTTATAAATTAGTCAGTTATTCTTCATAACTATTAGTATTGTAGGGTCTTAGCCTTCATATTTATTATTACTAAATACAGTAAAGTTTTTTATATATAGAATTTCATAGTGTTTGAACCCTTAATATGTAAATTACTCATCATAAACACCTCTGTAGGGTATTCACACTTGGTTAATTTGTCTTATTTTTTCACTGTAAAGCACTTTGGGTCAACAGTGTCGTTTTAGATCTGCTTTATAAATAACAGTGACTTGGTTTGGCTTGAACTTTGGTCAGTTTTCAGTCTTTATGCTAAACTAAGCTAACCTCCTGCTGGCTTTAGCTTCATATTTAACAACATGCAAGCACGCTTCCCAAACTGTTCTTCCATGCACTGTGTTTTAAAGAAGCTTATTTTGAAGTTTCTGAATTAAGGCCGGCTTCATCGTCACTAACTTACTTGATCTCCTCTCCGTCCAGCAGCCTTCTGTACTCGGCGATCTCCAGCTCCAGCCTGGTCTTGATGTCGAGCAGCACCTGGTACTCGGTGGACTGCCTCTCGATGTCGGCCTTCACCTGGCTCAGCTCGCACTCCAGGCTGTCGACCATGGCCTGGAGCTGCTGGAGCTGCAGGCTGTAGCGAGCCTCCGTCTCCATCAGCTGGCCCTCCAAGGCAGATTTCTACACGGGAGGGAAAAAAGAACAAAGCAGCGTTTACTGAGCGCTAATTGCTTTTCTTCTAATTCCTCCTTTCACTGAGGTTGCCTGAGGCGTGTGAGTGTGGGAGCAGTTTCAAATGGTGACGGACGGGTTTGGCGACTGCAGCTAAAATGCGGTTCAACAGTATCTGTTGCACACATCGGAGGCGATCGACTTGATGCTGAGCAGGTCAGATAAATGCAGTAAAAAAAACTAATTCTGCATCTTTTTTCGCCGTGCGCACGTGTATCTGTGTAATTACCAGGCTGAGCTGGGACTGAAGCTCAATCTGAAGGGCCTGCAGGGTCCTCTTCAGCTCGTTGATCTCGGTCTTGGAGGTCTGGAGGGTCTCTGTGCTGGTCGCCATCTGCTTGCTCAGCTCGTCAAACTGGAAGGTATCGAACATGGTCACAAAGCTGGTAATGATGCCGTTGATCTTTCGTTAAAAGTAGACGAGGCTAAGTGTCTGCTCTCACCTTCATCTTGTACCAGTCCTCCATCTCGCGGCGGTTCTTGTCAGCGATGCGCTCGTACTGAGTTCTGATCTCCTCCAGGGTTTTGTTCAGGTCCTCCTGAGGCTTGGCGTCCACCTCGACGTTCACCGAGCTGGCGTTGACTTGGCCGCGCAGGGCTGCGAGCTCCTACAAGCGGGACAACAGGTGAAGGTTAGACAGGTGCAGGTAGAGATAAAACTCAGGAAAGGCTGCAGAAGAAATGGGACCAAGATCCGGTCGGGACCAGAGTTAAAACCAGACTTTTGAACCACATTCAGTGGCTTTCCATTGCAGGAACTCAGGGCAGGCAGAAGGTGGGACGAAGTTTTAGCAGAACAGGCCTATGATCGGGTCTTTTAGGTCTTCTGTTTACATTGTGGTGGAGTATGACAAATCCAGTTGCAAAGTTAACACTGACTGAAATGGAGGTTTGTTCTGTTCGCCTATATGGGGATTTGCTGCTGTTAGAGAGGAGGGCAGGAAAAAATGACACAGAGTCAAGTTCTGTTGTGCTCAGAACTACCTAACCTAGCAAAAATGGGCTTGAAGGACTTTCTATTGGCTTACTGTTCCAAAACAAATGAATAAACACTGGATTTCCAAGTAAAGAAACTCTCTTTAGGGGCCTCTTGTGCTTTGTTTGCGATGGCTAGCAGACCCACAAGGTGCATGAATATATGCTCATGTTGCCATGTTGCAAAATCTATCAAATTGGCTAGCTTTAATCTGATAAATACGATGTAGCTGACATTACTGAGCCGGCTAGTGTTTCAGAGTTTACCCGTAGTGCTCCAGAGGGACGTTACGCTAACGTCAGCTGGCTCACTTTAAAGAACATGTTTCTCAAAATGAATTCTTATGTGACATATTTGTGTGTTTTTCCCGCTGATGGACATTTATGAGGCTTTTGTCTTTACAAACAAACCGAGTTAACGTCTAAGACGTCTTGTTATCAGATGATCTCGTCTGAGTTTCTTGGCAGCTCTTGCTGGCAATTAAAGTTCAAACCATCCGAACAAGTTTTCCATTACCTGGTGTTTGTTTAAGCGAACGATGGCACGTCTCAGGAGGCGTTTAGCGAATAGCTGAGTTAAATGGCTCATGAAAAACTGTTTTTGATGTTGTTTTTGCTGTCTGGAACCTCGCAGAAGATATGAAAGGAATGGATTCGTGATTCTGTGTCAACACTGGGATGCTTCTCGAGGCTTCTCACCTCTGCGTGGTTCTTCTTCAGGTAGACCAGCTCCTCCTTCAGGCCCTCCACCTGCATCTCCAGGTCGGACCGAGCCACGGTCAGGTCATCCAGAACCTTACGCAGCCCGGCGATGTCCGACTCCACTGACATGCGCACCGCCATCTCGTTCTCAAACCTGTAGGGCAAAAGGGCAGGTTCATGTTACCATTCCTGCTCAATCGGCGTGAAAATCGGCAACAAAGAAAGCCAGGAACCGGTCGGGCCGGTTCAGCCGCCGTGTTGACCGTTACAGCCCCGTGCCGGTGCGTCCACATAGCCCGAAACCACTTGTGCTAATGCGTGAAGTAATTTCACAGCCGTGCAAATAATTACAGCTCTCAATTTCCAGGCTGTAAAACAGAGCGGAGCCGACGGGGCCAGTAAAGCGTGACTCACTTGATTCTGAAGTCCTCTCCTGCCAGTCTGGCGTTGTCGATCTGCAGCATCAGTCTGGCGTTGTCCTGTGTGGCGAGGCCGATCTGGAGAGAACAGAGAGCCATTGTAAGTGGTTTCTTATCCACTTAATGCCACTACAAAGGTGTGCTGGTGATTCATGACCCTGAATGCGGGCTGGCGGGGTTGAATTAAATGGCAGAATAGCTTTGTTTACCCCCGGACTGCATTCCACAGTCATATCAGACGTCACATTTGTCCGACTGTCACACCTGCAGGTTTTTTTTTCTTATAGGGGTGATGTTGGGAAACAAAAGGCAGCTGACTCACACAGATGTCAAACATGCTGTTCCTGCTGTTTCATGATGATTTTTTTTAATGTGATTTACATCCTGAGGGCATACAATGGAGCAACAGCGACTTTGGATGTGTCAGCATGACGTATGAATTTAATTCATCATGCTTTACCGGCATTAAGACCAGGTGTTAATGCTGCCAAGACATTAAGGAGGCTGTCAGGTTTTAAAGAAACGAGGTGAGAAAGTAACACTAAAAGCAAACAGTACTATTTATTCAGTAGAATAAAGAAAAGGAGAAGAAAATAACAGTAATTAAGGTGTTTTATGTGTTTTCATTTGATTTAACCAAGAAAAGGCTCAATAGGATTATGAATCTGAATAAGCCTTTAAGATGAGAAGACAGGCAGCAGCACAATTTTAAGAGGTTTTATATATATCTATATATATATATAGATATATATATATGTGTGTGTGTATATTACAGTTGAAATAAAGGTTAAGAGCGTAATTGAGTATCACAAAAATATTTAATATATGCTGGGAAATAAGAAATAAATGGTCTGTCTTTCAACTTCTGAGTGCAGTTTATGATTTTTTTTTTAAATTTAAGATTAAGTATTTTTTTAAAAACGAAGGATGGAGGCTACAAGAAAAAATTGGAGCTTTAATAAAGTTTTGACATTATTTTAATTTTCATAAAATAGATGTTGAGTGCAATAAAGTATTAAATCAAAGAACTATGTGTGATAAATGCTGAGAGGTAAAGGGAGCTGTGTGTTCTCTCACCCTTTTTAATGCCTTTTGTTAAGTTTTAATTTTAAGATGAGTGATAATGAATGTGTTTGGGAGCTGGAATACAGTTTTTACATCATGTTTATGTGCGTAAAAGTGGTGCGTAAAAGTGGTGCGTAAAAGTTCACCTTTTTGCGCAGGTCCTCCATGATGGCCAGGTACTTGCTGTAGTCCCTCACGGCGGGGGTCTGCTTCTCGTACCACTCCCGGATCTGCAGCTCCAGCTTGGCGTTGGCGGACTCCAGGGAGCGCACCTTCTCCAGGTAGGAGGCCAGGCGGTCGTTCAGGTTCTGCATGGTCACCTTCTCGTTGCCGGACACGGAGACGCTGCTGTTGTTGCCGCCGAACGCGCTGGACAGGTCGAAGCCGGAGCCGATGCCGTTGGAGGCGTACGACACCCTGACGCTGTTGGCTATTGCCCCGCCATAGACGCTGCCGCCGCCGCGCCGGTAGGTCGACATGGTGGGCAGGGAGGACAGGGACATGGCGGAGGACCGCTGCAAGCGAATGGAGGACATCGTTGGCTTGTGTTGTGCTGTCAGGTGCGGAGACGCTGGTGCGGATGAAGCCCGGAGGATGCGTTTTTATACCCTGTCTGCTGGAGGCGGGAGCAGCCGGACAGGTAGGGGGGAAGGAAGGATGCTCCGCCGGCTCAGGTGTGACCGCAGGGCGTGGAGGGATTCCAGTTCCTGACGCGTAACGGCTGTCAGGGCGCATTTCCGTGAAAGGGGGCGAGGCAGGGAGCTCTCAGGTCTCTAATTAAGCCTGTCTGATACTTTTAACCTCAGAAAGAGAAGGTGAATCTTCCCTTTGTGCTTCAATTATTATTATTTTTGTTAAAAAAAATATTTAAAAAAAACGGGTCCAAACTTCTATTCTGCTTCAATTCAGTAGCTGTTATTTATAACTGGCACCACAAGATTACAAAAAGAATCGTGAAAATAAAGTTATTAATAATCATACTATATCAAGTAATTTCTAATGACTTTTTGACAGTTTTCAGCTGTCATTTATTGAATACCGTTTTTTTCTTTTTTTTTTCTTTTACAGATTTTTCCTGTTTTGTTAAATTACAGGTGATAGCAGGACAATCACTTAAAAATATATACATATTTATTGACATGCAAACCTTTAACAAAAAAAAACAGCCCTAATTGTACATTATCTCCACCTTAAACACCAGATAAAACAGTATTATTTTATAGATAGTTGCCAGTATTGTCACAGTTGTTACAAGTTTTTGGGGTTTTTTTCTACATTTTTTGTGTCAAACATACCCACAATCACAAAACTAAGAAGCAAAATTGTCACATTTTCATATTTTTGTTCAATGTGTTGGCAATGTTTCTTTATTAACAACGTATTATTAGAAATTCTTATTTAAAATAAAAAATATTATTACAAAAATATTTTAGTAACAAATATAATCTTAAATAATAATAAGAATGATAATAGCTTGCATTGTGAAATAATCTAAAAACTTTAAAATATTGAGGTTAAGACCATACAATGTCATTCATATATATATATATATATACACACACAACCCTACAACATACACAGTTTCTCATTTCAAATTTTTAATTACATTTTATTTATTTTATTATTTTTATTTTATAGTTTTAAATAAACAGTAAAAGTAATTAAATGCAAAAATAACAACAGTAAATGTAAGCAGCACAAAGGAAAGACATCATTCTATATTTAAAAAGATGTGTTTTAAGGCACTCTGCTCCTCTGATATCTTTGTAGGGGGATTCCACACTCTAGTTGTCAATTTGATTTAGAGACAAACACAGTTTTTACTTGCTGAATGAAAAGTCACAAGTTCAGCCAAGTTAACAGGCTCCATCCTCTGGGAAACACGAATATTTGCATAAAATTGAATGTTGATATGATCAATATTTGTTGAGATATTTTGGTTTCAAGTTGTGCATTGACGCCCGGCGCCTCCTCCCTGCAGCTACAGTGTTAGCATGAGTAGAAAAAAAAAAGCTGTTATGTGTAAACAGGCCAAAGGGCATTTAAACAGTGCAACAGATGTCAGCCTACACATATATACTGCTTCATTGCTCACACATGTCGTAAAAATTCCCAGACACTTGCGACAAAGACAACATAAACCCTGTGGTAATTGGAGACCTGCCACGAAGCCCTTTTGTTTCTCAAATTGCCTTAATTAAAATTACATGATTTTTTTTCTTTTTTTTTTACTGTAGGCACAGATCTCAGAGACCACACAGTTAATTACTCAGAAAAACGAATTTGTTCCAGCTTCTTTGTGCCTCTGGCTGCTGGTGTTGCAAAACATATTGTAGTGGAGAGACGGAGTTTGACGGCAAAAGCTGGATCGGTGACTTGGCCTCTCAAGGCTCATGAGAAAGTTTCTGAATCCTGATCCCATTTCTTCCTGTTTTACTCGGTCTTCAGTTTCACTCAAACAGTGGAATGTCTCGCAGAGCAGCTAATGTGAGCTTCACTGTGTCTCAGTGGATTTTTAGAGATGGAATTTACTGATATCAATTCCAGGTTTTTCTGCGGAGGCTTGTCTGTTGACAGAAATATGCTTGAAACAGCATAATCGTTCATGATTAGTTGTCGGCACAAGAACACCTCTTGACAAATTACTATTATGGTTTCATCTGCTGTCATTGCCGTTTGTCTGTCAACAGGATTACCAAAAACTACAAAGCTGAATTCCACGGAACTTGCCAGAGAGGAGGAGCACAACAAAAGGAACAATCCAGTAAATTTTGGCGCTGATCCAAAAGACTTTTCTTAAAATTGCAAGATAGAGCATTGACTTTGGTGGAGGTCTGTGACGTCGTATTTTTTTTGTATTTGTGCTCAACTGGAAGAAGGTTTTTGG